GAGTTTGGCCTGAAGACAATAACGGGCTCCATGCTTCATACTGAGGAGTGAAGCGAGCTAAATCTTCCACCCTCAATACCACGACTGAGGTGAGACCCCTGAGCAAGAACCGAACCCCCGATGGCTGCCCACTGCTCCGGGTGTGTGTTCACTGCTGTGTGTGTGTGTTCTTCACTGTGTGTTCATGGTGTGTGTGTGTTCTTCACTGTGTGTTCATGGTGTGTGTGTGTTCTTCACTGTGTGTCACGGTGGTGTGTGTGTTCTTCACTGTGTGTTCATGGTGTGTGTGTGTTCTTCACTGTGTGTTCATGGTGTGTGTGTGTTCTTCACTGACGGTGTGTGTGTGATCTAGACATCTTGATCTACTGAAGCACAATTTGTCCTGTTCAGCACTGTATGCATCAAAATAATTCTGGGTCATTCTCAGATAATGGTGCCATTTGTGAGAGAAAATTTCTTATTTTTTCTGTTTTGTTTGATTTTTTCCCCCACATAGTACCAGCTCTGTACCTGCCATATTACTCAATAAAAAGTTTATTTTTATTATTATTACTTTTTAGATGGCAGATTCTTAAAATGATGACTCTGCTTAAAATATAAAATAGGTCTTTAAAATCAGGTAGTATAGCTCCTTTCAACACCAAACATTATAACTGAAAAATAATATATGAATATATGACTTGATACCCGGCGTCCAGGCCAATGGAAATCACGTTTCTTTTTTTTCTTTTGTCATTGGTGCCAAATGGCGCATAACGGCCTCTGACACAAAGTAGATAAATATGGCATAATTCTTACTATTAGATCTTAAAACACAACAACAGCACTGACTGCTGTAAAGTGAAGCTGAGAGATCAAACAAATCATATCATATTGCAGTTACATTTACTGTATTACACAGGAACTTTTACTTTGCACAGCAAATTCAGTAAAGATCTCCTTTCATCTAAACTTGCTAGCAATGCTTCATGCATTATGAACTGGATATTTGGTATTGAAAACTGGAACTGTTATCCTGCCCATGCATCCGGCTGCTGACAATAAAACAATATCAATACTGAATTATAGCTATTTTATAAATATTAATTTAAAAAAATTACATTTGAATTTTTTTTTTTTAAATGTTAAATAACTACAAAATCTACAATATTTGTATCAACTTTGTTGTAATTTAGAATCATCTTGTAATAACTCATAGCCCATATATAAAAATTATACAACATACAATTATACAAAATTATTTGGACTGATTGTCTTATTTTGAGGCATTTAGAGTAAAAATAAAGCATGGTCCTATTTTATTTATTTTTTTACTTTTTATTATTTTTCTGAAAATGTAAAAGGAGAAATTCCTGACTTGCTTAAAATCAGACATCTGAATCAATATAAGATCCGTGTCCTGGCGGTGGTTTGAATGGTCTTGTTCCTCGAAGGCTCAGTTTAATGCCTCACGATCAGTGTGTGTAAATGTTACTGTGCACGCTGAAAACAGCACTGGGGTTCATTTATTTTTCATAATAAACTATTCCTGTAATTCTATAAAGTTTAGAAAAGAGCAAATGTTTTGGCTGCTTAAAGTTTCACTTTACAGATGATTCATCAGCGATTGTTCTGTTTTGGTCAACCTAAGTTAAACTCATAGAAATGTTTGTTTAGTGAACAATGTGAATTTGGCCAAATCCAGTGAAAGATGCATGACATGGAAACTGAGGAAATCCCTGTGTTACTTTTACACATGTTTGCTTGATGAACCTGTTGGCATTTATGTGTGCTCTTGAGGAATGCTGTCCGCTCCACATGAACCAAACGCACTATCCAAGACAATAAGCTCAACAGAAATTATCACTAATTAATTGGTATTGAAAAAGGCTGCAAATTTGATGTCATAAACTGACAGTGTTTGCTGCTGAAATCAATTAATGAGGCTGGTGGGTTCATTCACCCGATCTGGGTTAAGTGCTCTGTCAAAGCTACAGTGACCCGCTTGAGGAAGAACGATCTCATGATGTCAGCGGACACGGCTCTTGGTTCATTTTGGCATTCCGGCCGTTCTGGAGGGACTTGGAGTTTGTTGTTGACTACAGGTTTCCAGGCGTAAACGTTTATTCTCTCTTTGAAACACACGTGAAGTGTATTAGCACAGCAACAGCGAGCTGCGTTTTGGCCGGAGCTCCTGAAGGGCCCCTGTCTGCCTGTGCTTTGGCTCCTGTGATGATCGTAACACATGCCCTCTCCAGGGCCCTTGTCCTCTCTCAGCGGTTCCAGCCCGCTGACCGTATTGTGCTGCCGGACTCATTACTGGCAAACCCACAGCCGAGCGCCATGCTAATAGGCCTGAGGGAGGGCTGACGGTGTGAATGAGACACAAATACAGAAAGAGGCTGTTAAAAGAGACAGGGAGGAAGCATTATCATTGCCTTTATGGCCACATTCTTGTTTTTCTCACTCTCTTTGGATTCCAGCAGCATCAAGGTTTGATAGTTGCTGTCATTACGCAGTGGGCAGGAGCCCAGTTGGCATCGCTGGCAGACATTTTTTGAGGTTGATGACAGGAGGGGATTTTGTGTCATTTTTGCCACCATGAAAGGCACTCACACACACACACACACACATACACTTGTACATTTTTGTTCCTGGTTGTTAGTTTCTGCGTGCTTGAACACAGAAGTTTAAATGTTTTCAGTCAGTGCATTTACATGCACATCAATACAACACCACTAAAAATAGCTCATTGTATAAACTTGATAAAGCGTTTACGTGAGGTTTGAAATTACGGAGGTTTTCCTCCGGTTTTGACGTGAAAACAGGTATGCGCAGAAGAATCAGAGCAGCGCTGAAGGTGCAGAGCGGAATCAGAGGGATTTGCCAAAATGTGTGGCGATCGGTTTATACTTTAGTTAAGTACGGCGTTTAGTTTACATGTATTCGGGTTATGGGTAATTTATTTATGTGATGAACAAGGTAAAGAGTGAATTCGGCCGAAAACAAAATTTGAAAAAATAGGTTACAGCTTATTTATTATTTAAAAATAAAACTTCCTTATTTCAGCGATCGTAAAGTCGTCTTTTATTTTGTGCGTTGGGAAAAGGTAACAAAACGCCATGCAGCACCCGTTCAGATGAGTGCGTGTCTGTGTGATACAGGACTCTACTTTAACAGTTTTTAACTATATGCACCTGGGAGTATTAGCTATAATATTTTGTTTCAACGCCCGTAGTTGTGATTTTTTTTTACTCCCCGCGATTTGTTTCTCAAACTTTAATATTTCCATTTCTTTTATTTAATATTTCCATTATTTACAGTCTTCATCTTATCCAAGTACGAGCGCATTTCTTACAATCACTGTGCTAGGCCTAATAAAATGTAGGCTACTTGTTCTACATTCTCTTAGTGCACACTCTAATTCAAAATGCTGAACATATATAGCTTATGGGAAATGTTTTAATTCAAACTTAACTTAATATAAATAAAAAAAAATGTGTGTGTGTTACTCTCCCACTGGTGGTAAATTGTTGGTCTATCTTTGTGGTTCCAACTTTAGATGAAAACTTTGGCTGATCGCAAAATAAATGATAAACCAGAAGCGCCACGCAGAGCGCTGTGACGCGAGTGTGTGATATTACAGCTGTAGTTTCCCAATGTTAAGCTGATGTTATTAACACTCCGCTCGCCCCTACATTCAGAACTCATTCGAAAGCAAGTGAATATCGCGGGTCTGCGGCGTTTGCGCTCATTCATCACGGGATCCAGGTGGGCCGCGGCACCGGCGAACCGTGGCCTCGTTAAAGAGCCATTATAATGAGGCCACAAAGAGGAGAGAAATAATTGCAAATAAAAATAGGTGATGCAGAAAATAAAAAAGGAAATTAAACAGATGCGCATGTTTTCAGGATCATTGCTTTCGTCCCTTTCATGTGTTCAGTTAAACCGCTGACTGGCGAAAAATATGCAACATAATAAATTATGGTTTTCAACAGAAAGATAGTAGAAACACCATAATCATCACCGCCAGCTACCCTAGTCTAGCAGCAGGCTATGTTATAGGCCTATATAAAAGTTTGATCTATTTAAGAATAATAATTCGAGCTGTTTGCTCTTGTATTCTGACAGTACGGAATATATAATTACGCTTATTATTATTGTACAAGACAGGAAAAAGAGGAAAACACATGATTGTAGTTTGTCATGCTTTATTTAATTAAAAATAATTCTGTAGAAATTATTAATTTACATTTGAATAATATAATTAACAGTACAATAAAACGTAATCTCTGAAACTCAAAGCTCGTTTAATCACAGAAATATAAGCATGAAAATAAGCTGGAAAAAATAGAAGCGAGAATATAAACATTTTAAAACGAATGAATCCCCACACGGTTCAGCCCTAATAATCATGTAGAATATAAATTAATTTCATTTTAATAGGGGTTTCCTTCTCTACATTATTTACACATTTCCTCAAATCATCAAACTTCTGTAATGGTTGGGACTGAATATGCTGTTTCTGAATATGATGTTTTTGATAGTCATTTATTGATTTGTTGGACGATGGTGAAACGTGGCACATTGAAGAGAGAAATGTCCGCTTGTATAGATAAAATGTTATTTCTATCTCCTTTAAATATCTGCTGTATGAATAGCCATGAAGTCCATCCGAGATCAATTCATTCAGCTCGAATGCAAACTCAATAAAATGACCATTTGCTCCTTTCCCCAAGCAGTGAAACCGAGGAAGTGTCTCATACAATCCTTTATAACCTTTTAATTTCTATAGTTTATTTGTTCAATTGTGTGGATATAGTTGTCAGTTTGGTAGTATTTGTGAATCGTGTAGCTACACTTCAGATGTTCCAGCTGCTAAAAACAACGTTCGTGTCCAGTCGAGTGTTTCTGGCCATGAATATATGAAAACAGTTTGCAGGAATGTCTTTGGCTACAGAGAAATAAAAACACAGGCAAGAAATGCTCTGACGAAATAAAGATGTAAACGTGTGGCTGCACATGGCCTTTAATCGGGCCGTGAACAAAGGACATAAATAGTTTTACAGGCAATAAAAGGTAACGTCCGTCAATATGTTTTCGTTTTTCTTCACTCCTTGTGTCTTTCACTGGACGCTCCACAGTAAGAAGAGAAAGTTCTCCGGTTCTCCGGTACTAGAGATGATTGTAAGCAGTGGCGGAGGGCGGCGCGCGGGCGGCGGAACTGTAGTAATACGGAGAACCTGCAGGGGCGACAGTGAGCACTGTACAGTGAGCAGACATTTGTTATGTATCCCTGGAGCACAAAAGCAGTCATAAGCAGCACAGGTATATTTGTAGCAATAGCCAACAATACATTGTATGGGTCAAAATTCTCAATTTTTCCTTTATGCCAAAAATCATTAGTATATTAATTAAAGATCATGTTCCATGAAGATATTTTGTAAATTTCTTACCGTAAATATATCAAAACCTAATTTTTGATTAGTGATATGCATTGCTAAGAACTTCATTTGGACAACTTTAAAGATGATTTTCTCAATATTTTGATTTTGTTTGCACCCTCAGATTCCAGATTTTCAAATATTGTCCTATCCTAACAAACCATACATCAATGGAAAGCTCATTTATTCAGCTTTCAGATGATGTATAAATCTCATTTTCACAAAATTGACCCTTATGACCGGTTTTGTGGTCCAGGATCATATATTATTTTGTATTGTAGAAGCTTCAGTTAGCCTGCACTGTAATTCTAATTAAATCAGGAGCTGGAGGGCTAACAGCCGTCTTGTGACTGTGGCATTATTTCTTTCCACAGAAATGCTTGATAGCCTGAAGACACAAAGAGTTACTAGCAGAAGGTAAATTCACCTCAGAGGACATGTGACTGAAACTTTATGCAATAGTTGAAGGGCAAGGCGCTCCAATCTGGGTGTATGCACATGCATAGTGAAAACCCTCTACTAGACAACCATAACCATGTGTGGATGCCACATTTGCCAAACGGAGAGAAGTGAAAGTGCTCAGAGAGACTGCTGGACGTACTTAATATGCTGGAGTTGGTGAATCTCCAGGCGTCGCTGTAGGACGTGTAGGGCGCGTGGCTGTAGGTCTGGCCCGTGTATTCTGGGCCTGCAGATGAACACGCATCCGTTACAAACACATAAACGACAACAGCAAGCACACCACTGAACTCCTGACAGCAGACTCAGACTGTCGTCCTGCGTGAGGCGGCTCGAGCTCAAGCTCATCGTTCACTCGCGGTTAGAGGCGCTCGTAAAGCATTAATCCGGCGGGCCGGGCAGGTGGACTCACTGGTGCATACAGTCAGACTGCTTTAGCGTCTCTCCATCCCTCACTTCCTCCTTTACATTCTTACATCCTTACATTCTCCCTCTGACATTCTTTTTTTAACATTCCAATATCTAATTGGTAATTATGGGAGCCGGATTGAATCCCCCCTTCAGTGAGTAATTGTGTATGAACGCTTCCTCTCAGCGAGCCCACCAGAAAAATAATAAATCAGACCCTCTCATTTCGCGCTTGGCAGGGCAGACTTCATATGAAAAAAGAAAAGTCTGAGCAGCTCCATCGAGCTCTGCTGCATCTCCTCCTGCCATTTGCTCCTTAATGTTAATACTCTCTGTATACGCTTTCCATATAGAGTGTGCATTCATTCACAGGGCTAGTCTTTCTCTCCGTCTCTGTGGGGCCGATGGTCACGATCCCTCTGTGGGGCCCCAGCGGTCGGGTTAGAGAACTCCCGGACCTGCTCTACCGCAGCTAACCAGCTACTGATTAACCCACCCGTCCCTCTGTTAATCTCTAACCGGCCTCCCGGCGCTCTCACGCGCTCTGTGCGCTCCTCACATTTGACTGTTTTCAGAGAAACTGTGCTGATGTGAACGCTGAATCACAAAACTAGATTTTTACTTTGAGCTCACTGAGCAGATGTTTTATCCAAATGAGTAACATCACAAGCCATTTGTCATCAGAGCCAGATTCACAGCGTCTAATCTCTAAGCTCGAGCAGCGATGCAATGCAGAAAGGAAGACATATGATTCTTTTAATAACTAGGAATCGCAGTCAGAGCCTTTATGGCTGTGGATTTGTTGTGCAGTTGCTAGGCTGTTCTGGTTGGTTGCTAGGAGGTCACTGGCCCGTGCCTCCATTAGACTGTAGGCCTGTGTTTTTGCGCATGAAATTCGCTTCACAGACATACTTTGTAATTTGAATATCGTCTGAACTGAACACATCTGCTGTATTTCACAACAATTCACTGTGAATTTTGAACTCTAAGAATGAAATGGTTCAAGTTTGGTGGTTCAGACACATCCACCATATGAAAAATAAAGAGATTACAAGTGCAACATTTTCTCTGAACAGCCAGTGTCACTTCAATTAACTCCTTCCCCTAATTAGATATTAAATGTAAGGATTATATCATTAGATGTCAATATTGTTTTCGAGCACAGGACCTCGTGTTACGCCTCATCCAGACCAGAGACTGAGGCCTGAGCCGTAACCCATCCACATCAGAACAGAAAATGTTGCTTCAATAATTGTTTAGAAAAAATAGTGACCCTTGCTTTAACAAACAGCACATGGGAATTCATAAAGCTGACTCACCTGCTACCATCCCAGTGATGGTGGAGGAGGAGAAGCCGGTCTGCGCGGCCGAGGGGATGTGTGGAGGATAACCGGGCAGCATTGAGCTCGCCACATCTCTGCCTGAAACAAATCCCCCCATCCCTTAGTCTCACAGTCCACTGCGATGATGGATGCATGAGTGATGCGTGAAGCTTTACCTGCGATGAGCGGCGGGCTGCCGAACTGCCCGTGCACTGGGGCATGATGGGAAAATGAGTGGAAGCCATGAGATAAATGAGTGGCGTTGCTGCAGCTGTTAGCGATGGGTGCTGATGACGAGGTGAGCTCCAGGAAAGCTGCATTAGCGATGATGTTGGGGGAGGGGCTTGAGCTGTTCACCTCGGGTGACATTTCCTGTTTCAGACAGAGTGGGAGGGGCTGTAGAGCTTCTGGGGCGGAGCAACGGTTGACAGACAGGTGGAAAAATTAACGTATGAATGTTAATTGACGTGCAGCAGAATGGATTACAATAATCACACATATGCAAAACGGTGACAATAATGGTGAATACAACAATCAAATGAGTTATGAATTTGGGGAATACCAGACGGAGCGGTTTGCTACTTTTTGTGCAGTAAATGTGCCTCTCTTCTTGTAAATATCGTTCTGATGAGGAGAATAAATGAGGAACTAAAGGCATTTTCATGTGGATTATGGTTATTACCTGCAACCACTGTGTATCCCTGATGGGCCGCCAGGTTTCGACTGACAGCTGAAGCTCCTTTAGCCTCGTCCAGACTGCCGTTGATGAGTGAGAGAGGATAGAGCGCCTGCAGGAGAGAGAGAGTCAGTAGCTGAAGGTCTGCGCAGTGTCCGGGACAGATTTTCCTCCAGTACCTGCTCTGTTTTCCCGACTGCGGTCGGGCCGAACGTGTCGGAGCTGTAGTGGTGCCGCTCGAAGCCGCAGTCCAGGCGCTGGGATGAGAAGTGTTCGGCCCTCAGCTGTTTCCGGGGCCCTCCACCGCTGCCCTGAGAGTCCACGCTGTGCCGACAGCTCTCCTGATCGCCTGGCACAACACAGGTCTCCTTTATTTATATAGCGCTTCATACTATACTGATTGTGTCAAAGCAGCTTTACAGTGTCAGCAGGAAAATAGTGTGTCAATAATGCAAGAGGACAATAACAGAGTCATTTTCCAGCTAAAGTGATTGAGTGCTGTCATCATACAGTTAAGCTCTCTACTGTCTGTGCAATCAGTCAAGCGTCCCCAACTAGGCAACAGAAGCGAATTATTTATTTATTGACAACATTTGAACATTTCCGCAAAACCTGAAAAATGTGCCGCAGCAGATACAGATTCCACCGGTGACAGTCAGAGACTTTCTCACTCTCAGACACACGTGAACTAATTCCATTTCAATACGTTTGTTCCCATTGCTGCCATGCATTCTCCCTAAACCCATCTACTAATGCTACCTGGAATTTCATTTAATGTTTCAAGATCAAAATCATACCTCATGGAAACAGCAGTAAGGAACGCCGGAGCAGCATCAGTCAGTATGTCACAGTTCATTTGTTAAACTTCGATATGTTTAGCGTCTGCGGTCTGAATCGGTGCATTAGAGTGCGACTCACTGTCGTCGTGGCTCCTCTTGCCCTCGCCGCTGGTCTGTGGGATTCCCAGCAGGCCGCTGATGGAGTAGGTGGAGCCCAGGGAGTCCGACTGAGGAGATTCTGGAGGAGTGACGGCTGAACTGGGAACTGTCAAGCAAACAGACAGTTTTTTACTTTATTACTTCACTGAACTGAATCAGATATTATCGGGAAGTGTTAGTGGATGTTCATACTCAGCGTATGTCCAGGACTGAGGCCTTTGCTGTCCAGGGGAAGGTTGAATGGCTGTTGAACTTTTGTGCGAATAATCCTTCAAGAGAAGAAAACAGCGGGTTAGCAGAGTTAATCAAGAAGGAAGGTGAAATGTGCACAAAGAAAATGAAGGACACTGGCATTCTGTGGATGAGGTCAGGGGTCATTACCTGTTGATGGAGCTGACGCTGGGCACGGTGTCGCCATCACAAGCACCCTCGGCCAGCAGCCGGTCTCGGATCTCCCACGCAAACATGGTGGGGTTCTGCCGCTTGTACTCCGCTATCTTCTCCACCACTTTAGGAGTCGCCACTTTCGGCTTGGAGCCCCCGATGACTCCTGGTTTAATGCTGCCCGTCTCATAGTACCTAAAAGAGAAACGACCGTTAAAACAAAACTCACGTGAGTTTCGCTGACTGCTTTCACTGCTTCCTTCTGACACCCGTCTGCTCACTTAGTCCTCATTCATTTCTGCTAGATTCGATCTGCATGTGTATATCATGCGCTGTGCTGTCTATCGTCTTATAGATTGTATACTGTGTGTAATGTTAAATCAGGAGAACTTGATATATGTGTCTGATAACGTTATGGCATCCAGAGGAAAAAAAACAACAGAAAATACAAAAAATACCAGTATAGCATTTGCTACAGTGGAGCAGAGGAGACCTAACAAGCACTAAGAAAGGAAAAGTAGAATAACTGAAAGTGTTTGGGCCATCCTGTTGTTAGAGAGAGAGAGAGAGAGTGTGTGTGAGTGTGAGTGTGAGTGTGAGTGTGTGTGTGTGTGTTTGTGTGTGTGTGTGAGAGTGAGTGTGAGTGTGTGTGTGTGTGT